CTGACTCTGTAAACCAATTACACGGTTGAAGTGCTACTGATGACTAGTTTCTTATTTCATTTAACACGGATCCAAAGCTAGTGCAGATCCTAAGAGAAAGGAGGAACTTCCTGAAACTCGTAAAGAATTAGTTGACATACAAAAAGTGTAGCCCAAATTGAATAGTCTAAGGAATGAAGCCCATTTGGTAAATCCAGGATGAAGGTCCAAATACGACCATTGATAAATGTAGTGGAGGCCCACGAATAAAATAACATCATCGTCCAAACTTGCAAAACTCCTAGGATCTGAACGAATGGAATGCCTTGCGGTCACCCAGAGCGATGATCCCGCTCTTGCCCAAACCTTTGAGTCGCCCAGGAACTGAGCGAATCAAAGGTATTATGGTTATCCAATACAGCAGTTATTGAAGCAGTTATTGAGCAATCTTATCACACCACACAATCCAAGAATCCCGGTTGTAGGAAGTTAAACGACAAGAGTAATGACAACAGTTAGAGACGGCAGTTCCACGTCAAGTCAACCATTATGAAGAAAGTGGGTAATTATAGAGTATCAAACAGTTTTCAAGCAGTTTTTCACAAAAAAACTATCAAAGAAGTATAAAAAGAAAAAGAAGACATAGAAGAAAAGACCCCGAATCAAACACTCTCAACATAGAATATGTAATTTCAATTTTTTAGTTTAATTTTAAAACACTTCTTTTAGTACTCGTGTGCTTGCGCCCCTTTGAGGCATTATGTTTATTTCCAATTGTAATCTTCACCAATAAAACACCCATTTTTGGGACTTTGTCTCAAGAGGTCTGTTCCTTACACAATCGTCTGATCTCTTTTTTAATTGTTACCGATTATCCGCGCGAAACAATTTGGCACGCCTAGTGGGACAATTGGTGTTTGGTGTTTGAGGATACAAAAAGTGAAACACTATACCTCATAAGAATTCTGATAAGGAATCAGCAAGTCATGGAGTAGTCCAGTATGTGATTGAGCAATATGAGGAGCAGCAAAGCTCTCCATGAACAGAGGGATAGAGTCAAAGCAGTCACAGTCGTTACGAATCAATGATAGAGTTGAGTCCTCAAACCATGAGTGCATTACTTAGAGAACTCACACGGGATGTTGTTGAACAGGTAAATCTACAAAATATTCATAATATGGAAAGATTTACCCAAAATGGGAATGCGCATTATGACAACATGGCCAAATAACTGAGTACATTAAACTAAATAATGAACAAATTAGTAGGCTAAATGTGTCAGCCAGTTACGCCTATTGCAAACCACTTTCAAACTAGGACAATTGTGGGACATAGTTCCCTAGTCCTAAGTCCGAATCAAAGGATAGAACCACCTTTCGGTCCGTCTACTTCAAATCAGGGGGCGGTGTAGTGCTAAACTTGAATGGTGGTAATGGTATGTTAAACTTGGGGGGTAACCCAAATATAAGAGATAATGTCCTGAATAATGGACAGAATACCCCACGTGTTAATGATGGAATAAATACACAGGCTAATGGTAATAATGGCCCAAACAATGGCACTTTTGTTGCCAACCAATGACAAATTGTTAGGTCTCACGCAACTCAACCAGTCAACCAATCTGTAGGAATTCCATATGACTCCAACGCTATGTTGAAGAATCAAATTATGGAAATAGTACATGATCAAATAGCTTTTGGGGTGTGCCCTGTCATTAGGCCAACTTGATTGGGTAGACCAAGCATATCTATGGCTAGAGGGTACAAAGTACCAAAATTTTCATTATTCACTGGTTTAGGAGAATTTTCTACTCCAGAACATATAGGGCGATTCACACTGCAAAATGGTAAAGTGACTGATTATCATAAAATGAGGTTATTCTCTAGTTCATTAATAAGAGTAGCTTTCTTCTGGTTCATTAATTTGCTAGCGAACTCTGTTCAAACATTGCAACAACAGGAACAATTGTTCTATGCTCAGTTATATAATACTGAATCTGAAGTTACCCCGGTCGATTTGGCTAATCTACGTCAAATGCCAAGCGAATGGGAAAAAAGTTTCATTCAAAGATTCAAGATAGCAAGAAGTAAATATTTTGTGCCTTTGCCCGAAAAAGAGTTTGTCAAAATCGCTCAAAGTTGTTTAACCTTTGATTTGAAAAAGAAATTTCAAGATAGAGAATTTCCTGATCTTTTCCAACTTAGCGCGAACGTAATTAGGTATGAGCGATTGATAAGAGAAGAAGAGCAAATGAAAAATTCTAGAAAGGGGACTTACTATAGAGACTCGAATTTCGATGTTCATACTATTAATGATGAGTATTACGATCAAACTAAAGTATGTTTGGCCGAATTAATCAAAGGAGATGCATATGTTTATCTTATATTGGTCAAACCTAGAGTGTCGAACAAAGACGAGCTTATAAAAGATGAAAACAAAAAGGCTAGGATATTTTCGTTCGATGTGATCAAAGCTAACCTTATATTTGATAAACCGTATAAGGATAAGTAGATAAAATTGATCGATAAACATAAATTACTAAGCCCTGAACAACTTAAGGGTAAAAAATATTGTAAGTAACATAATGCATGGTCACATTTGACTAACAATTGCTTGGTTTTTCGTCATGTGTTACATAATGCTATCAAATCAGGGCGAATAACGATCGAAGATAAAAAGAAAATGACAGTGGATGAAAATCCTTTCCCGTAGCCACTTGGGGTGAATATGGTAGTTTCAAAAACAAGTTGTTAAAATTCAAATTGGTTATAGACGACGGAGAAGAAGACCATGGGCCACATCTCAATGTTTTTGAACGTATCAAAGTGATAGAACATAGAGAAGACAGGGACATCTTGTGTGCAAGATGTAAAAGATAAGTGAGTGCAAAAACGGAGAAACCAGGAATATGGCAGCATCACCATCGCTCTGATTTTGTCCCAAACGCTCAGCTTGTTAGAGGGCGAGGTACATCATTTTATAGAG